TCAGTTTCCCCTTTAAGGGGGTCAGTACCTCACGGTATGGTTGGAGTTTGCCAAACAAAGGTGCGGCCCTCAGTGCAAGCCCCGGATGCACTGGTACTGTCCTCGCCCCCACTCTGGGCCGCCCTTCCCTCTGGATAGATGGCCATGGCATCTCCAGATGGGCTGGCCTAGGGGGGCTCTAGGCTGACCACCTCCCCAGTAGAGTCGTGGTTTCTGGGCTGGCCCCCCCATCTCCCTGTCCCCAGGAGGCTGCTTTAGAAAGGAGAGAATAACATGACACGGGCACCAGCTTCTTGGGGCAGAATGTGTCAGGGGGACTTGGTGGGGGGAGGAGATCAGAAAGTTCTCCAGTGCTTCCTGTCCCTCAAAATGTATGCAAAGACAGGGAGGCAAGCACAAGCCCAGCTCTGGTCCCCAAGAGCACGAGGACGGCTTGGCCCGCCTCCACGGTCCTGTCCTGTCCCCAGCGCTACGTGCCCCTGGGTTGGCGTGGGAGCCCGCCTGCGTGTGCCGCTGCCTGGGGCGGACGGCAGGCCCTGGGCGAGGGCTGCAGGGGCAGAGTTGTCTCCCATGTTGGGGGCCTGGGGGTTGCCCGCCGTCAGGGGCGTGTTCCGAGCACGAGTCTGTGGAACGGCCCATTCTAAGGCTGCTTGTGTCTGAATCCAGGAAAAACAAACAGGTCCATGGGAGCTCGGAGTTGCCTCAAAGGGCTGACAGGATGTCGTTAACGTGACAAAGAGCGTCTGTGCCGGGGTCCCAGAGGCTGAGGCCGAGCTGTGCCCTCTGCTGCAGTGGTGGGGACACCTGGCCTGAGTACCCCCACCCCTGCCCACCAGCCGGCAGGGAGTCCCCGATGGACTCAGCAGGCCAACCTGCCCGTGGGGGCCCCTGCCCACCAAGGGAGCTGGTTCCCGCTGGGCGCACGCTCCCCTCTGCCCCCAGGGCCTTCCTGGTGGGCCCTGCCCTCCCCCCCACCTACATTTATCTTCCACTCATGGATTTTTTTTGCACTAATTTTGATAATCTCAAAGGCTGCATTACGTGTTGTTTGCTGTGATGCTGAGCTCCCCGGTGCCCTTAAACTTCCCTGGCCTCCCCTGCTTGTGCGTGTCTCAGAGGCCACCACTGCCCCTCTCTGCAGGCCTGTTCCCAAAACTTATGGGTCTCAGGGACTCTTTATCCTCTTAACAATCACTGAAGACCCCAGAGAACTTTGTTCACATGGGTCATACCTATCAGCACTTAGCACATTAGGAAATGAAGCTGAAAAATGTAAAAAATGTTATTAATTCATCAAAAAAATAACAGACCCATTATATGTTTACTTGAATAAAGTAACTTTATGAAAAATTACTGGATTTCCCAAAAGCGGGCTGGGCACAGTGTCTTGGGTCCCTACCCCCTTTGCAGCCCCCAGCCAGCCTCTGCTCCACACACCCAGGCCCCCTGCAGAGCAGCTGGGGCCCAGGCCTCCCACGTGAGGTGCAGGCCCTCCAGCGAGGATACCCTGCAGCCAGCTCTTTATGTGGCCTGGCTGTGCAATGGGGATGCCATGCATGCGCATGTGGGTGCCATGTTGCTGCCTGAGCATGATAGGCTACCACGTGTGTCTGCATGCACATGCGGGGTCCTGTCCGTGTGATGAGTGTGCACCCACGTGCCCGGGCGGTAGGTGGCTCTGTGTTTGTGCAGAATCCATGTTTTTGAGGGATGATGGCATTTCAGGGAAGTGCTCCGTGTGGGCTGTTGGGGTAGACAGCTTGAGAGCAGCCTCTCAGAAGCCCCCTGACCACAGACAGATGCAGGGCCATGGCAGGCAGTGGGGAGGCCTTGGGTGCAGGAACTGTCCCTCCTGCCTCAGTCCCAGGGTGGTGGCCGGTGTGCCTGTCCGGTGCCCCGCGGTGTAATTCAGCCCCTGCTGCCCAGCTTCCTCGGCGGCTCCTGACTGCTGCAGAGCTTTTACCCGGCTCCAGCGGCTCTGTGGTCTGTGTGTGCTGCGTGCATCCCTGCTGGGCTGAGGCCATGGGGCTTCTCCACTCCCTCTCTCTCTCCCGTGGCTGGTGGAGGGCTCGGGGAGGCCCAAGGACCGGGGGTCTCCCAGGGGGGTCGGGGTGGACAGGCAGTTGCCACTGAAGAGCTTGAGGCTTCCTGTCTGGGCCTTATCTTCAGCCAGAGTTTGTTAAATGGGCCCCAAGTCCCTCCTCTGTGCCCCCGATTCCCCATGCTGGCCTTCCAGGGGCTGGGGATCACACAGAGGGTCTGCATGGACCTTCCCGGGACCACCAGAGGCAATTCTTGCCTGGTCTGGCCTGGCAGTCATGGAGGGGAGAGTCCAGGCCAACCTCCCAGAGGCAAGGAGCTGGTGTGCCTGCTGCCTGGGTGCAGGTGCCAACAGGAGGAGCTGTGGCTCCGGACACCCTGGGTCCCCCATCAGGCTCAGAGCCGCCTGCGGAGAGCCCAGCAAGCACACAGGGCCTGTGGGGGCCAGGGTGGTTGGCGCTGAGTGCCCTGGCCTGCGCAGCCAGGGTGGGCTCCTGCGTCCTGCAGGAGGTCGTTTTCAGGCCCCCTGGGAGCCACCTCACCTGCCAGCCGGAGGCAAGCATGGGGTTGGCTGGGGCCCCTGTCACTTCACCACAAGCCCTGGGTGGACTCCCCCACCGAGAAGGATGGGGCTGCGTCTGGTTCTCTCGGAAGAAAGACAAACGAGACATCTGGTGCCTGGGTGGCGTCAGGAAGTGGCGTGTCTTCCCTGCTGGGCCTTTGTTGGCCTTCATTGAGGACCAGCCTTGGGAGAGCTTCCGGCCTCCTGGGCGGGTGCACGGCGCCGATGTCTGTGGCCAAGGCGGGGGGACTCCTGGGGGGCAGAGCTGAGCTCCCCGGTGCCCTTAAACTTCCCTGGCCTCCCCTGCTTGTGCGTGTCTCAGAGGCCACCACTGCCCCTCTCTGCAGGCCTGTTCCCAAAACTTATGGGTCTCAGGGACTCTTTATCCTCTTAACAATCACTGAAGACCCCAGAGAACTTTGTTCACATGGGTCATACCTATCAGCACTTAGCACATTAGGAAATGAAGCTGAAAAATGTAAAAAATGTTATTAATTCATCAAAAAAATAACAGACCCATTATATGTTTACTTGAATAAAGTAACTTTATGAAAAATTACTGGATTTCCCAAAAGCGGGCTGGGCACAGTGTCTTGGGTCCCTACCCCCTTTGCAGCCCCCAGCCAGCCTCTGCTCCACACACCCAGGCCCCCTGCAGAGCAGCTGGGGCCCAGGCCTCCCACGTGAGGTGCAGGCCCTCCAGGGAGGATACCCTGCAGCCAGCTCTTTATGTGGCCTGGCTGTGCAATGGGGATGCCATGCATGCGCATGTGGGTGCCATGTTGCTGCCTGAGCATGATAGGCTACCACGTGTGTCTGCATGCACATGCGGGGTCCTGTCCGTGTGATGAGTGTGCACCCACGTGCCCGGGCGGTAGGTGGCTCTGTGTTTGTGCAGAATCCATGTTTTTGAGGGATGATGGCATTTCAGGGAAGTGCTCCGTGTGGGCTGTTGGGGTAGACAGCTTGAGAGCAGCCTCTCAGAAGCCCCCTGACCACAGACAGATGCAGGGCCACGGCAGGCAGTGGGGAGGCCTTGGGTGCAGGAACTGCCCCTCCTGCCTCAGTCCCAGGGTGGTGGCCGGTGTGCCTGTCCGGTGCCCCGCGGTGTAATTCAGCCCCTGCTGCCCAGCTTCCTCGGTGGCTCCTGACTGCTGCAGAGCTTTTACCCGGCTCCAGCGGCTCTGTGGTCTGTGTGTGCTGCGTGCATCCCTGCTGGGCTGAGGCCATGGGGCTTCTCCACTCCCTCTCTCTCTCCCGTGGCTGGTGGAGGGCTCGGGGAGGCCCAAGGACCAGGGGTCTCCCAGGGGGGTCGGGGTGGGCAGGCAGTTGCCACTGAAGAGCTTGAGGCTTCCTGTCTGGGCCTTATCTTCAGCCAGAGTTTGTTAAATGGGCCCCAAGTCCCTCCTCTGTGCCCCCGATTCCCCATGCTGGCCTTCCAGGGGCTGGGGATCACACAGAGGGTCTGCATGGACCTTCCCGGGACCACCAGAGGCAATTCTTGCCTGGTCTGGCCTGGCAGTCATGGAGGGGAGAGTCCAGGCCAACCTCCCAGAGGCAAGGAGCTGGTGTGCCTGCTGCCTGGGTGCAGGTGCCAACAGGAGGAGCTGTGGCTCCGGACACCCTGGGTCCCCCATCAGGCTCAGAGCCGCCTGCGGAGAGCCCAGCAAGCACACAGGGCCTGTGGGGGCCAGGGTGGTTGGCGCTGAGTGCCCTGGCCTGCGCAGCCAGGGTGGGCTCCTGCGTCCTGCAGGAGGTCGTTTTCAGGCCCCCTGGGAGCCACCTCACCTGCCAGCCGGAGGCAAGCATGGGGTTGGCTGGGGCCCCTGTCACTTCACCACAAGCCCTGGGTGGACTCCCCCACCGAGAAGGATGGGGCTGCGTCTGGTTCTCTCGGAAGAAAGACAAACGAGACATCTGGTGCCTGGGTGGCGTCAGGAAGTGGCGTGTCTTCCCTGCTGGGCCTTTGTTGGCCTTCATTGAGGACCAGCCTTGGGAGAGCTTCCGGCCTCCTGGGCGGGTGCACGGCGCCGATGTCTGTGGCCAAGGCGGGGGGACTCCTGGGGGGCAGCGCAGGCATGTGGAGCACAGGACCATACCTGGCCTTCCTGTGGGTGGGCCTCCCGGCCTGTGCATGGGGCTGTCAGGCCCTCTGCCCCATGGGCACCAAGCCTGTGCATGGCCCATGCACCTGCCTCCCTTAAGCATCAGGTGTGGGGGCCAGAACCATCCGCTGCACCTGCACACCTGCACGGGGGTCCTGGCTGACCTTGGCCATCCTGGTGAGGGTCTCCCAGCTTCTGTCTGCAGGCCTTGGAGCAGTGGGGGGTTTGGGCTGAACAGATGCTGTCCTGAGGTCCTGATGCCTCAACGGCTGACGACTGTCCCTCCCCCACAGGTCACAGTCACCACCATCGGCTACGGGGACAAGGTGCCCCAGACGTGGGTTGGGAAGACGATTGCCTCCTGCTTCTCCGTCTTCGCCATCTCCTTCTTCGCACTCCCCGCAGTATGTGCTCCATTTGGGGTGGTGTCTTGGTGGCTTGTCTGGGCTCTGGGGCCAGCAGGGGTCCCCCTCCCCGCTGTGAGCACCACTTACAGAGACGACACGTTCAGAGCCAGCTCACTGCTGCAGGGACCCTGGAAGCCCCCTGCCCTCCTGTTCCCAGCCCTGGTGGGTCCTTTGTAGCAAGTACGTGAAGCGGCTCAGTGTGGGCCTTCCGTGGTGACAGTAGGGCTCGAGCCGGCTTGTTCAGACCCCGAGGCGGGGGAGGCCAAGGCACCAGTCGTGGCTGCCACGTGAGCCTGTGCTACTAGTAGCCTGGGAGGGGCTCTGACCCTCATCTGCCCCAGAAATCAGACGTGAGGGCTCAGTGTGTGCGGGCGTGGGTGTCACATGTGCCACGTGGGATGCACCTCAGCTTGTGTGTGCAGGTGCGTGTGCGTTGTACATGTGTCCCAGGCACACGTGCAGTGTGTGTACAGTACACCTGGGGGCTTGCCGCTGTGGAGTGTCCTATGTGTTGTACACGTGCAGCAAGCGTGTGTGGTGTGACATGGCTGTAGGGTGTGTGCCCATGCAGATGCATGTGGACATGTGCGGCTTGGCCTACTCTGCTCCTACCCAGGGGATCCTCGGCTCCGGCTTTGCCCTGAAGGTCCAGCAGAAGCAACGGCAAAAACACTTCAACAGGCAGATCCCGGCAGCAGCCTCGCTCATCCAGGTGACGGACGCCCCCCGCAGTCCCGGCGCGCAGCCTCGCATCCGCCTGGCTGAGCACGAGCATCGGCGTGTCGGGAACCACCCACCTGGGGATGTGCCATGTGGACCCAGCTCACCCATCCCAGCCTCCACTCCTTGGAAACGGGCGGTGCCAAGGGTGGGCTAGGCGTGCAGGGGGCCCCTCATTGCCTGGTGGGACCTCAGGGCTGCTGGCGGCTGGGGCCCAGGGGTGAGGACCCAGGGGCTGCCCGAGGAGTGGCCGGGCAGGGGGCCTGGAGCATGGGTGTTGTCACGTGTCTGGATGGGGGCCCTCTACCCCGCAGGGCAGCTGCAGCGCCTGTGTGGACCTCTCCAGGCACCCAGGCTGAATGGCCCCAAGGGAGGTCTGGAGTCCTGGCCGGGCGCCTCAGCCTCCTGAGCTCTCTGCCCTGGGCAGGGCCCCAGCGAGACAGGAGCTGGTTAGCCATGGAGCCAGCTGGGCTCTTCACCTCAGGTCTCTGCCTCAGAAACCCATAGGCCAGGCCTGGGCATCGCACCTGGACGGGAAGGAGATTAAAGCAGTGGCTAGAAAGCCAAGGGGCCAGGGTGCCCCAGGCCTGGTTTTATGGCCCTGGTTTCTCCTTTCAGGGAGACCATGAATCAGGCCCGTAAAACTGGCCCAGGCCACATGTGCAAACCCGTGGGAGGGGGCCACTGCGGGCGGCCACATGCAGCCTCAGGAAGGAGCAGCCCTTAAAAGGCCGGGTTCAGGCAGTGAGCTCAGGGGTGCAGACATGCCCCCCGTGGTAGGGCAGGAACTGGGCCCAGAGGAAGGGGACTGGGAATGGCCCACAGCAGGAAGCATGGGTGATGTGTTTGTGGACAGGACACGCATGGGCTGCTGGGGACCAGTGTGGCCTGTGGGCCTTGGGATGGGTTAGCCTGTGGCCTTTCCCTGGCGGTCCCGGTGGGTGTGAGTGCTGAGCGGGCCCCTGGCCACTGTGTCTGCCTGGGTTCCCTAGTGTTGTCACTGTCACCCAGGAACCCTGCCAGCACCTGCTCCTCCTCATCCTTCTCGGGCTCCCATGGCTGGTAATGACATGGCCCCAGGGATGCGTCCTCACACAAGGCCCCGGGCATCCCCTCCTGCTACCCCCCAACATGGCACGGCCTCCCCTCGGGTCCCCGGCAACGGGTTTCCCCCTCTAGTCACCGCCTGCATGGTGGTCACTATGGGTGCCTCTCTAGACTGGAGGCTTAAGACCTTTCCCCACGTGCTTGCCAGAGGCTCCCCACAACTGCAGACGGTACCTGGGCTGTGGGACCAACATTTGGGCCTCTGGGAGGGGCCCTGCTCCTGCACATGCCCTGCCTGACGCCCCCACAGGCCCTAGGCGACCTCTGCTGCAGCCCGTCCTCACTGGCTGCACCCAGCTTGCCTGCCCAGATCTTTGTCTGCACTTCCCAAGCATGTCCTGACACAAGGCAGCCACCACATCTTTGCATCTCCAGGCCTGGTGCAAAGCCAGCCTGCAAGAGGGATGGGCAAGGGGGGTGGCAGGTGGACCGGGGCTCACAGGCAAAGGTCCTGTGGTGTCTGAGCTTCAAGCAGCAGTCAGTGCATGAGGCCTGGGGCCTGGGCTGGGGCACTGGCAGGATTGGTGGAGCTCCACTCCCGCGTGAGCCCTGTCAGGTGGCTGGGTGGGTGACAACCTCTCCTTCTGCTGGTTTCAGACAGCATGGAGGTGCTATGCAGCTGAGAACCCTGAGTCCTCCACCTGGAAGATCTATGTTCGCAAGCCCTCACGGAGCCACCCTCTGCTATCTCCCAGCCCCAAGCCCAAGAAGTCTGCCTTGGTAATCAGATCCCTTCCCCAGTACCAAGACAGGGGCCACTCAGCAGGCAGGAGGCCGTGGGGGCCACAGCTCCTCACCAGGATGTGGCTCTGGCATCTCAGGGTGGTAGCACCATTCCAACACTGGGCTTGTATGCCTGTGCTGGGTCCTGACACCCCAGTGTCCCCAGGCTTGGGAACATGTAGGACTGGCTGATCCAGAATCAGGGCTGTGGGAGGCCCAGAGGTGGTCCCAGGAACAGGACAGAACCTGGTCGACTGCTGGAAAGATGGCTCCCGAGACGGCCTTGCTGTTGGGCTTTCCGGCTGGCCATGGTGGACAGTAGGGACGGAGGTGGCGTCCTGGCTCAGGGAAGAGGGTCTTGCGGTCACAGAATAGGGTGGTTTGGGCATGCTTTGGGCAGGAGTCTGGCGAGTTGGCTGGAGTGGTGAATGCAGGGCAGGGTTGGCCCCCCAGTGTTCCCCTTCCTGGCCCGTGCCCACGCCCTCCTCAGAGGGCCTCTGCTCTCCCAGTTTGCAGCTGGAGCCCGTGCACCTGCTATTCCCTCTGCTGGAACATTCTCGCAGGTTCCTGCTGACCTGCTCCCTTGTCTTCTCAAAGAGGTCCCTGCTGTCCCCAAACAACTGCTTCCCCATGTGCTCTAACACCCTGCTCTGGCCAAAGCCCTCATCCCCGCCTGCCCTGGTGTGTTCTTGCCGACTACGTCTTTACCAGTTTTGTGCCCACCTGCCTCCTCAGCCTGAGCTCCTGGAGCAGTGACTGTGCTGAGCCCCCCACAAGACTCCCCAGTGCCATGGCCCGCCCCATTTACGTGGGGTGGTTCTGGGGTTTGGTGCCTGAGCCCTGATTTCCTGGCAGGTGCCCAGGAGGTGCTGTGTGGGATGGTAGAGGGTCTGGCAGAGGATGCCCAGGAGCTGCCAATTTGTTGTCTGGTTTCTAGGTAAAGAAAAAAAAGTTCAAACTGGACAAGGACAATGGGGTGGGTCCCGGAGAGAAGATGCTCACAGTACCCCACATCACGTGCGAACCTGTCGCGGAGGAGCGGAGGCCAGACCATTTCTCTGTGGACGGCTGTGACAGTTCTGGTGAGAAGCCTTTGCATAGGACGAGGTGGGACAGGGCTTGGATGGCCAGCTCCACAGCCAGGGGTGGCTGGGGTTTCAAGGATGGCTCCCTGTCGCCCAGACCACTTGCTATTGTCTGACAGACATCAGGTGGCCTGAGGCCAGGTGTCTGCCTGTCAAAGCCCTGCCCCTCATCCCAAATGGATCAAGGCATGTCCCACTGAGAAGGCCAGACCCCACCCAGAGGGACCCCTTCTACTCTGTTCCAGACACAGGGCTGCTGGGAGCCAGTCTCCACCTTGTTCCTGTGGTGTGGCTGGTGCCCATATACACTGACCCCACCCCCATTCTGGGTGGGGCAGTGCCTGGGGGTCCAGAGGCACTGTGTGTGCCCACCACTGTCCCTTTCTTGGTCACTGTGTGCCTTTGGTCTTCTGTCACTTCCATGTCTGTCCCTCCCCTCTTGGACCTCTTTCTGGCACACACCGAGTGTTCTTTCTGGCACCCGCCAGAACATTCCAGCACCCACGAGAATGTTCCTGCTTATTGGTTCTTGTAAGGATAGTGTCACTGCCTCAAACAGGCAGAGGGAGACAGGCTCATACAGCTCCTGACCCTTTGTGCTCGTGCGCACTGGCATCTGGCCCAAGTGCTTGAATCGTGGGAGGCTGTGTCCTCTTGCATGTGGTCCCTGTGCCCTGACGGGAAAGGGGCTGTGGCCACTCCCTGGGGCTGTCCGTGGATACCCTCTTTGGAGTTCAGTGGGCAGGACTGAGCCTGGCACCTGCCCAGCTGGGTGCCAGGCTACTGTGGCCCAATCACATGCTGTTGGGATTCTGCTCCGATCTGGCCACATTGCTGGTGAGCCCCTGGGACGTGCTCCCCGCCTGCCCACTGGAGTGGGCACAGAGGATAACTGTGCCAGCAAGTGCCCACTGCCCCCCCAACTCCGGACTCAGGGGCAGGACCATTGTCCTGATGCAAATGGGAGCTTTCTGCAAATGCTAATGGCAGTTTGGGCATGGGGAGAGGCATGTTGGCTGAATACAAGTGGCCTGAAATGCGCTGTCCATTCAGCCTGCTTGGTGCTATTAAGTACTTAGTGGTGCCTGGGGAATGTTAATGAGCTCCAAGCACAGAAGGAGTCGGGTGCCTTTTGTGGAATGCCCCTGCATGCAGGAGGTTTTTCTTTCCTGCCAGTGCAATAAGTTAGCCCAGCCCAGAGCCATCGGATTTCTGGAGCTGGAGCTGTCAGCCTGGCCCCCAGTTACCTGATACTCCCAAGTCCTCCTCGCCTGGAGGCTCTTGAGAGCCCTGGTGTGGGAAAAAGGGGCGCTAATCTCAGGGCAGATGCCATCACTGGGAAAGGCCTGCAGTCCCCGCTGCCATGCGGCGGGGTGTGAGCAGCCATGCTGAATTCTGCCGCCAGACCAGGCCTCGAACATGAACTCGCCAGGGTGTGCTCTCTGGGTGCACCAGCAGGACATGTAGGGCAGATGGCATCTCCATCCTGGCACATGGTGCCTGCCCGCTGTGCTCACCGCTGCCTGGCCTTGGTGATTTCTCTGTGCCTCAGGCTCACAGAATCTCTGGGCTTCTGTCCTGTGAACCTCAGGCCCAGTGCCCTAGGCAGGGCTGCCCACCTTCACCCATGGGCTCCAGAGCCTTGTCTAAGCCACTGTTATTCCCTCCTGGATTGCTCATTTTTGGGGAAAATGCCATGACGGGCAGCTGGGGGCCTTACAGTGACGGATGTACATGCGGCAGGGGCCCCATGCCCAGCTCCTGTCCTTGTGCGTTCCAGCCCCTGAGTGCTCACGCTGTCCTGGCGCACCAGGGACTGGTGGGCAGAGGCCTGCTCTGGGCAGGTGGTGGGGGCTCCTTGGCATCCGGGGAGGAAGATGGGCAACAGCAAGGGGGCAGAGTGTGTGGGCCTGGTCAGGCCTGGGAGAGCTTCTTGGAGGAGATGACATTGTGCTGAGTAGAGCTGGCTGGGGAGAGAGAGGAAGGACATGCCCAACAGCAGGGGCAGCCCAGACAGAGGTGCTGAGGGGTTGCCATGCACCTGTGCACATCTCCATGTGTTCGGCAGGCAACCTGGGCTCCTCACATGGTTCCTGACCTCACCCACCTTATGAAGAGGCCCACGTGGCTCCTGGCCACATGGGTGCTGTCCAGATTGTAGCTCTGGTGAGCCTGGAGGCCTCGGGCATGAGTGAGTGGAGCCTGTGGTCAGGCCACACACGTCCAGAGAGCAGGAGTGGCTGTGGGTCAGCTTTGTGCCCTGCGTGGCTCACCGGGGGTGGCCTGGAATGGGGAGCAGGCAGGATGCAGTGGCAGGCCAGTCCAGGGCCTGAAGTGATCCGGTTGGGGTCGGGGGAGGTGACCATGGAGGGCAAGGTGGAGTGTGAGGTAGTTAGGCCTCTGGGTAAAAGGGGAGGCCGTTCCTCATCACAGAACATTTTGGAGAAGATAAGGAAGTTATTATTATCTTTCATAGAGAGAGATGTGCCCCACTGGGCCAAGGAGCTCACACCAAAGGTGCAGAGCCTGCAGGGCGGCTTGCCTCTCCCGCTCATGTTGTGTGCCCATTCTGTGCCTGTGCCTGTGAGTCTGGTTCTCAGGACATGGTCTGCAGGGCCTCTCGCGGCTTGCCAGGTGGGTTCAGCTCAACCTGCTGGGCCTGCCATAGATGAGGCTGTTAGAGGTGCCACTGGGCTTTTTGGAAGCTTCTATCCACCTGGAACCTGCTGCCAATGGCACTCAGGAGGTGACCTGTGGCTCTTGCCCCTGGCGGGCCCGGTGTGCTCAGAGCCCATCACCTTTGCAGTCTCACGGGCTGCTGTTGCCCTGGGTTTAGGTTTTGCCTTTTCAACAGTCCTCTGAATCAGTCCCTTGTATGCAGTTGAGGCTTGTTTATGTTCACCTGCTGGTCTGCCAGGTTTCTATCTCACTCCCTTCCTCCTGAAGCCTGTGCTTGCCTCCATGAAGGTCTGTTGATAGCCACTCAGTTTTTCCTCATTCAAAATTTTTGTATTTTGCCTTTGGTTTGGCTGATGATTTAGTCAGGAAAAAGGTTAAGGGGGGAGATGTGTTTTCCCCTGATGCTCCAGAGGCCCACCACAGTCTGCCAGCTTCTGTGCACTGTTGAGCTGATGGACAGTCCTTGGCAGGCAGCTCTTCGCCCCTCTGGCAGCTTTGAATTCCTCTCTTTGACTTTGGTGTTCTGTAGCTTCACTGCACTGAATCAGGGCTGGGGGCAGTAATTTTATTTATCCTGCCTATAGTTTGCTGACTCCTGAATCTCTTTGTTCTTGTTTTCTATCAGTTGTGGATAATCAGCACCATGACATCATAAAACATTGCTCTGACCTCTCCTAGGAACTTCTGCCTGACCACCTTGTTCTGTCCTCCTTACAGTCCCTAAAACTTTCCACCTCTGTCCACCCCATGCTGCATCCTCAGTAATTTCTTTCCTGTTTAGACTCTTCAGATGTGACTGATCCCCTGGTTCATCCACCCACTGGGATTTTAATTTCACTACATCTGCCCATTTCTGTACGTCCACGTGTGGGCATTTAATCTGGTTGTTCTTGTATTACCTTACATTCTCCTTCCTGCCTTGTATTTTTAAGTCATTTGAACATGATCGCTGTCCTGTAACTTCACGTGCAGCCCTTGGAGAGTCTGAGTCTGTCTGCCACGGCTTCTCCTAACTGTTTCCTCGTGAGTCTGTAAGCTCAGGTTGGTGGTCTTCATGTGTGTGGCTCCTGTGTCCCCTCATGGAGGGGATGCTGCTCTGGAGAGTTGCCCCTTTGCTCCTACAGGGTGACCCAGTGAACCAATCCAGAACACTTGTGGTGTTGGTTTACAGGTATGGGGTTTTCCAGATGATCCCATAATGTAAACACAAGCCCAGTCTCTTGTTGCCAAAGCCATGCATATCACGAGAAGACTTTTTACTTACAGGCCTAAAGAATAGCTCAAGACAAGTTAATTTCCTTGTCCCTCTGTCTGCCAGCACATGGCTTTGCTCAGTGTGGCCAAGTTTGTCCTTTTATGCTGTCTCAGCCTTTCCGAGGACCAGGTTTCTGTGCAGAGTCTCAGTTGCCAGTTCTCACCTGGTGCTGGTCACAGGCCCTGCCTCTTCTCCCTGGGGGTCCCCACCACGGTTCCTTGGGCTGACAGATACCCAGGACCACCTGCGTGTCAAAACCTGTGTGCAGTCTGCTTTTCCGCTCCTGCCCCAACCTTGGCCCCTGGGAACTCCCCACCTTTGGTGGTGCCTGTCAGAGGAGCCTGATCATTTCAGCAGGCCTGTTTGGGAACTTGCAGGGAGAGGCGTTTTGTGGCATCAGGCCTACTTATAGCCCCAAGGACAGGTCCTCATCTTAGTGACAGAGAGAGTGTCCCCAATAAGGGAAGCTGTGAGCTCCCCATTGGCTGAGGGCTGGGCAGTTACACTCCAC